TCCTTATTAGTATGGAGTGGAATATTTTACACTCATGAAAGTATAAAATAACAACAGAATTTTCATTCAAAATATCTAAGCTGCAATTACGTATACACTTTATTGAACTTCTTATACTAAGGGGATTACTTGAGATTGAAAGTGTCTCTTTAGCAGCCAAGACTGCTGAAACTTTGCAAATAGTTATAAATAATTCATACGCATGGAAATAACAAGATTTCTGAAGAATAGTGTCTTTAAGAAGACACATATGAAGAAGATGCTAATAAAGGCTTCTTCTGTTATAGCTCCTGGCAATTGTAGCACTACCTTCAGCACTTCAATCCCTGAGGAATATATTTGCGTGCTAAATAAAGACTAAGTTTTATCATAGCAGTATATAATTTATCTACTATCCAAGTCACATCATGATATTACATTGTGTATTATTTAAGTCAAGGTCAAAGAACTTTTTCTATGAAGAGCTAGAGAGTAAAGAATGTTAATTAGGTCCTTGTATAACAAGGAAATCAAATTTAAGATACTTTTATTGATAAAATTAAAAATATAAAAATAATTGAGTATAAATTTTTGCCATACAGGTCTACTAACGAGAAGAATGAACTAAAATTTGAATTTCATATAATCGTTTTATGCCACAAAGAATTCTTCATTTAATTTTTTTCAAACATTTCAAAATGCAGTAAATCAACTATACCCCAATAAAAATTAATTTGAAAAAATTTGAAAAAAATGTAAGAACCATTCTTACTTAGCTCACAGGCTACTACACAAAACAGGCAGTGGGCTAGACCTGACCCATGGACCATATTTTACCAACCTCTGAACTAAGTATTACATTATCTTACAAGTGACATTATATAATTCTATTAATTTGTTTTCACTGAAAAGGTAAATTAATTCAATCTTGACATAGAGATTGGCTTCCATGAAGGAATTGTTTACATATGATACAAATTCTGAAATTAATTTTAGAAGACATAAAAATGTTTTTTACTTAGGTTAAGCACTAGGGATCACATGGAAGTCCTGTGTTCGATTCCTTGTTGGCTATGAGCTGTGTTATCTCCATAGCTGGAGGCTGCCCTTATCAGAAATGATTTGGGATGCATACTATCAGGAAAGGGGAGAACGCACCACATTGATGAAAACAAATCAGTATTGCTGTTAGACAAGTGAGTCAAAGTTCAGGCTCACCTTTATATCCAGAGGTCAGCTACTTATGTACTGCAACTTGTAATTGTATTTTAACAGTACTTTACTGTCTATACTAGTAATTTTTTGCTATGGAAAAGAATTTGGGTGGGGAGGAGGAGGAAAAGAAGTAAGTTTCTAGAAAGAGTACAAGGCTGAATTTGAACAATTTGAGAATCTGTCCAGTAGCATTTAGGTGGCATCCCAGAGCCCACAAGAACGATCATCTACTCAAGTCATTACCTTCAACTTTTGTTAACTTTAACATATTCTTTAGTGCTTCTTTCAGGGTAGATATCAGATACAGCCTTTATTCCAATTATGGAAAAGAAAGCACACAGTGAGAAATTAACTTCTAATTATGTCATTCATAAGCTACTTGTTAAGCATTAAATATTCTCAGTATACCTGAAGCCAGAGAGCTTCCATCACATGATCTGCAAGAGTAAAAATAAAAGCAAAACTCCTTGCTGACTTACACCTTTTCTTCTTTTACAGTGTCCACCCCTCCCCCAACAACATCTTAATGCTCACAAGGAAACTGTGGGTTCATAAGAGCAATTTAAAAATAAAGGGACTTCCCTGGTGGCGCAGTGGTTAAGACTCCACACTTCCAAGGCAGGGGGCCCAGATTCGAGCCCTGGTCAGGGAACTAGATTCCCACATGCATGCCGCAGCTAAGAGTTCACATGCCACAACTAAGAAGCCCGTAAGCCAACACTAAGGAGCCCACCGGCCACAACTAAGCCCCAGCGCAACCAAAATAAATAAATAAATGAAAATAAATATTTTTTTAATAATTTAAAAAAATAAAGAGGTGACTCCCTTTTCAGTGCATGTATCTTACTAGCAAGTGAAGAAAGCAACAACAGCCTGTGCAGCTTATCAAAGAGCAAGCCCTACTACGAGGATCTGTCTCTAAACTTTCACAGAAGGAACTCTTCAATATAATAACACCTTGACCAGAACAAGGAGGAAAGACCTGGGGCTGGTTCAATGCTTTTGAAATGTCAGGTAGGGTGCTAATAGCCAAAGAATGTGGTCCATTCAACGTTTTTCATCTTTAGTCAGAAGAGGAGTCAGCAGTCACCAAAGCTGTGTAAGCACACGCATCTAGTGGTTTATGCATCTTTATATAAATATATACATATGTTCACACACACACACATAGATACACATGAACATGTATGTGTGTGTGTGTGTTTGCACAGAAACCTTCTAATGTAAACTTACCCTGTTGATTAATTAGATCAACTAACATTTAAATTAAAGTGTACCTAATCCCTGAGCTGTCCCTGGTGTATAAAGTCCTGTCCCGTGTAAGCTTTCATACTGGCGGCCTTGGGCAGTCTTGGGCCGACTCAGTGGATAGCAGATTTGCTCCTGGTGAATCAGCTGTAAATAGAGGGAAAATGTCTTTGTATTCACCCGAGAGACTGACCTTTAATTTCCTTTATTTTTATTCAGTTCTCCCTGACTTTAATATTGGTGTTCAAGATTGATTCATGTTTTAATATAAAGTTTTGTCCAAAAGAATTACTGGAGCTATTATAATACTTTAAAAACACTTACGGTGGTTGATGGTCACTTGTCACTATGCTGAATTACAACCTTGCTGGTAAACATATAGACTTGTTCCTCCAAAAAAGATACAATACATGGAGTACCATGACTTGGTAATAAGTGCCTTGCTTTCTTTCCCCCCCCACAAAATACTAATGAAATAAAACTTGGCAAATGAATTTTTTTGTTTTATATCTACTGCTGCAAATCATACTGTCAATGCAATAGTAACAAGAAATTACTAAATGCACCTTTAATTACCTGAAGTCATTTAACTGCATATATGACACTTTAAGAACAGTCAACTCTTAACACACATGGTAACCAAGAATTCCAACTTTAATATTTAAATGTTCCTAATAATTTAAAATGCTATAGGTTCTTTAAGTTAATCAAATGTTTAAAAGAGCATTAAACTACTTCCTGAAGAATAAACCAAGGCTAAAAGAATACAGAATCAGGATTGAAATTTTAAGTGTCAGGAGAGGCCCAGCCAGAGCTAAGCACCCATGAATATTCTGCTCTCCTGAGATCTTCTCAGCAGCTCATCTTTCCTTTGAAGAAGATATATTACAAAGAAGCTATTGAAGGTCGATCTGCCTTTTATTGGACTTCAAGAAAATAAACAAATGTGAACAACTAATAGCCCAGTCAGTCACATCAGTCAATTATAAACTCAAACAGTCAGCATATTGGAAAGACAAGACTGCCTCTAGGCCAGACTTAAGCGCTGCTTTCCTTAAGGGAAGGATGCTTCAAATGATGTGCTTTACATTGTAAGAGTGACCTCTAGTGCTTCCTTTTTTGCTGAACTTCGGTAGTTGGACGATGAATTACTTATGCGTTTTCTACAAAACTTTCTGGGGGGGGGGGTCTGTGTTGTTATTGTTTGTTTGTTGTAATGTGGGTCAAATGCTACTATTACAGCATTCCAAGATTTTGATGAGGTGAAAATATGCACATTTTATTGACTCATGGGATTCTTACACCCCCAAATTAAAACAGAAGCTAAAACACACTGCAGCGTCCGAGTGAAGTTCTCTTCTTTCAGAGTGATAGATATACCACACCATTAAATGAGCTAATGCTGAATGGAAGGACGCAATCCCAGTGGCCATTCAATGTAAATGAGCATTTGGCTTGTGCCCGTAAGGTCATTTCTAATGTTCTTCCCACATCAGAGTGCTTTAGCGCGCTCAAGGGATGTACCATAGCAAATGCCTGGTTCCTGGCTTGTGTCCCCCCAAACCTAAACCTGCTTGAAATGTAGTGACATAAATTCCTGACCAGGCCTCATAGCCCTTTCTTGAAAAGCAGATGAGCATTTCCTTTAAAGTCCAAGAAAGAGAGAAAAAGTATTTGCTGAGTTTGTTGATCATTCATCAGGGAGGGGGAAATTCTCCCCTTTAGAGATTTTAGGCCAAATGTAACTTTTAAAACTTCTTATCTCTAATAAAAAGTGGATGAAGGGACCTCTGTCAAATTATTTTGGATGATACTTAAATTAGAAATAAGGTCTTAATAAATCTTCCCTGGGACCATTAACTCAGAATCAGAATATTCAATCACAAATTTATAAAGTTAAAAATTCAAGAATAATACTTTTGAAAAAAGCACCTGAATGTATTTCTTTAAGCAAGATGTAGAAATCAAGCCCCCGTGTTCAAGTCTCATTCTGGTGGCAGTGAGGACACAATTCCTAATATTGAGGTTCACCTCTACCAATTCTGCCCCTGAATTCTGCAGTATGTTTCAGTTATTATCCTGGCATCATTTTAAAGATGCAGCCAGCTATCAGTCTGCCAAATTGCAAACTTCAGAAATCTAAGCTAATGTAGCATAATGTAAAGTCTGCCAGTTGTTTTCCTGTTAGACATAATTCCAGTAAAATTCAGGAAACCTAAAAAAGGGAAGAAACGAAGACATTCACAGGCTATTCCGTGATTAAGATGACGATTTAATGTTTTACTAGAACTTGAGTGTTCTCAATGAATACACAAAGACAAGAGGACAAGATTCTGCTCGTAGACAAACAGAGAAACGATACTTTGCATATTCTGACCAGACCAAGAGGAAAGACATGTGTAAACCCAGTCGTATTTGCAAGATTTTAAGTGAGGCTTCATTTATAGCAATGTGCTTTGCAGCAATTCCAGCTGCAAATAATCATCATAAAAAACAACAGAATTAAAGTTTTGCAGAGAGGCCCCCTTCAAGTTCTAAATCATTTGCTGTATACTTACAGGAATTCCCAGCTAAAACCCTGTTCCAATTTGGAGTAGATAACAGAAGTAGCGTCTTGAGAACAGCTCCGGTGACAGGCCTCATGTTCACATTCGTTGGGCTCCCCCAAAAGATCTTGACTGGCTCTCCGAGGGCTCCAGTCCCGCTCTCAGTCTGTCTCCCAGCTCTGTCTGGATTTTCAGCACCTCTGGGTGTCTTGGTCTCTCTACCTCCTCCTCTTCCTTCCCTCTCTCTCTCTCTCTCTCTCTCACACACACACACACACACACAAACACACACACCACAGCCCTGACTGCTCACTGAAAAGCGCTCAGCATCTTTCCGAACGAGCATCCACACTGCCGAGGCCACGCCCACTCCTCGCAGCCGTGGTCCCAGAAATTGGCAGCAGCAGCGTCCCTCCTCCAAATTCACAGCAGCGCTCAGAGCTCCGCCGCCGGGCGCTGCGCTGCTGATGAAAGCTGGACTTGGAGGCGAGGCCTGCCGCGCCTGGGCCACCTCGGGGCTCCCTCCCCTCTCCTCTATTCTTCAATAATCCTTAACCCTTTTCTCCCCTCTGGAGATGTCCGTGGGGGGAGGGGCGAGGCGGTGGAGCCTCCTGATTTTCTGCCCGTCTTGCCTTCAGCAGAGCCAGTCAACATACTGAGCTAATTCCTGATTATCCGGGAGTGCATCCAGGTAAAATTGTGTTTTGTTTCAAAACAAAAGCATAAAATGAGACAGAAATAACTAAGCAGCATTGGTAAATGGTAGCTAAAATTGTCCTTGGGGAAAATACTTGCTGTTGTTTTTCTCTGTTTATATAAAATTATCCTCTTCAGCTATGGTGCCAGGATTTTATTATGGAAATGCCTCACAAGGAAACAGACATTCCTGTTCGGCAGATATTTAAAATCATCTAGTAATAGTCTGCAAGAAATTAACATTTCTTATTTTAGTGCATCAGGAGTACAAATCCACAAACTGAATGCTTTGGATAGATCTATTTGGATGAATGCTTCAGGCTGTGAATACGCAGTGGCATTCTACAATCCAATTCTTTAATAATAATTCCCAAAAGGCCCCAAAATAAAAACGATGGGATACTGAAGAAAGGGAACCCCCCGCCCAAAACACACACACACACACTCACACCAAACCTCCTAAACAATTTAAAGATGTAATTCAAATGGCCTAAAGGAGAGAGGAGTAAAGTTGAGTTCAGAAGATCACCAGCTACAGAAAAATTACTCTTCAAATGGCTGATCCATGGATATTGCCAGTTCTTGAATAGAATATTGAAGTATCTAAATAATGGAGCTAATATCACATGATGATAAGTGTATAACATGGTGTCATAGAAGGATAAATAAGCTCTTCAAAATAAATGTCAAGATATTTAACTTAGAATGTGCTAAATTTTATAATAGGAACACTGAGATTCTCAAGCACTTCTTGGTGATAACAAGTAAGAAGAAACATAAGCATTCAGCAGCAGCAGCCTTGCTATAGAATGAATGAAATAAGGGGGAAATGACAGAAGCATTCACCATTAAGAGCTAGCTCTTGCCTACAAACAAAGCAGAAGAGATATTTTTAATTTCCCTATTTTGCAGATGAGAAAACAAGAACAGGGAATTTAAATGATTTGAGGAGATCATAGATTTAGTAAATAAAGCACTGAGGATTGAACTTTGTTTTTCTGACCCCAGTTTTACTGCTCTCACCCTAGGACTTGCTGCCCTTCACATAAGAGTACAGCTCCTTCCTGACCTCTGTCAAAGGCAGTGAAAACCTGAAGCCCTTAAAAAAGAAAAAAAAGCAGAGGAAAAGAAAGGTCACTGTTCGAGTGTTTACTCTGTATTTCTAGGCCTATATCCCTGATTTTGTCATTTTCAAATATAACATGTTAAGCAAAAGCAGATATAAATTGACAATTTCTGTTAAGTAATTATTGAAGGGGATTAAATATTGTTGAACACATATTATATGCCACTTGTTATCTACTTAAATTATTATAGCAATCTTTGAGGGAAATATCATTGTGCCCATTTAACAAACAGATTGAGCCTCAGCAAAGTTAAGCAGTATGTCCAAAGTGCCACGGTGAGTAGGCTCGGCATTCTGGTCTGCAAAGCTCTGAAAGTATTTCCTTCAATGACTCCACACAGAGGGAACGGGTCTCAGGCTCTCCAGAAGAGAAAAGTTCTCTTTTTCTCTTTTTTTAAATTCTCTTCTTTTCTCCAGAAGAGAAAAAAGTTGTCTTCCTTTTAAAACTTTATACTTAAAATTGTTCCCATAAAATAAATTAGAGAATGCATTTTAAAAGGATCAGTACACATATCAAAAATGAAAAATAATTGAACCTTTCCTGGCAATAATAACTTCTTTAGGACAAAGTGTAAATTTTCATAGCAACCGTTAAAGATGGATTTTTCCATATCAATGGGCTATGGTAATAGAATGAGTTGGAGGCTGGCACTGAATAAAATACCTGAGTATTTCAAGCCATTGCACCGCCAGACCCTGCCTGATGGCCACAGGGGAGAGAGAGCCACATGGACCACATGACGCAGTGGAGAGAGTTTAGACATTATAAACAGAGAAGCCCAGATATGAATTCAGCTTTCACTGTGGTTCTGATTAAATGACTCATTTACTCTGGTCTTCGATTTCCTTTTCTTAAAAAGTAAGAGAATAATGACTAAAGAGCCATTGTGATATAATGTGTGACAACCGCCCACTGAGTGCCTAACACTTAGTGGGTCCGCAGTTACTCACTGGCCTTAGATATCTGCATTCTGACTGTACAGAGTAGTGGTTTGAGCGGGCAGTGTTGGAGTCTGGTAGCCCAGGTTCAAGGTCTGCTCCAGAGCCACCTCCAACCAGCCTGCCCTTGAGCAAGCTGCATATCATCCCTGATTCTTAGTTTTCTCATCTGTGAACCAAGGACAGGTAGAGTATCACCCTCATGGCTGAGACAATGCTTGTAAAGTGAAAGCCCCTGAGAGACAATCAATGTTGTTCTTGTAATCACTGTATTATTACAGCTCACTTTGCACAGAGGAGAAATCTGAGGAGGAGAGGAATTACGGACTTGCCAGAGGGACATGACTCATTGGTGGCAGAAAAGGGATGGTCACCAAGACCTACTGACTTGTGCTTCTTTTCTTCCTCTCTACCATTAAGAGTTGGTGCTTAATGTCAGGGAGGGAAAAAAAAAAAAAAAGAGTCTGAATGGGAAAAATCAGAGAAGTGTAGAGACCTAATTTTGCACATTACTGTACTGCTGATTCAGACGTCACAAATCATTTCTCCCTGTGTATGCATTTGTGGTTATATTTTCCACCGATTAAGATAAAAACAACTGCTGGTGCTTCAGGTTTGGCGTATGCATATTATGGGCTAGACCCTGCCTGAGAAAGCATTATAAATCAAACCAAAATGTTCCAATTTGTAAAATAAGGCTTTCAATTTCCTCTTGGTACAACCTGCCAGAGAACTGTATGACCCACCACAGTGTGCATAGAGGCTCCTGGACTGTCCTTTGGATTGGAAAAGGATCATCGGGTCATAGTGGAACAAAGTCACATCAAAAGACTAGAAAGAGATTAAGATGCAACTCCTTTGTTTCTCTTATTCATGCAAATTGTGTTATCTGGTGCCTGAACCCCTTAACTGGTTTCTGGATTTCTTACAAAGGCAATTCGTTTGTGGATGTCTCCCTAGGGGAAGAAGAGGCTGGGCTTCCTATTTTGCAACTTTGTTGATGTTGCTACTCAAAATTTATTCTTTTTGTGATTTATGAGAAATATATTTTGGTCATCTGAATGACCAAATATATTTTTCTTATATATATGCTTGGTCTTCCTCCACAGTTCCTGGCTCAGGACCTCCCCAAACCTTGGAATTTCCTAAGTGTAGACAGTGGTAAAGGTGTCCTGTGATATGTGAAGAGGTGACTTTTAGAAGCACCTAATGATGGGGGCTGGTTGCCAGGAGAACCAATCATGTGGTTAGAGGATTGGAACTTTCAGTCCCACCCCCTGACCTCCAGGGAGAGAAGAGGGCTAGAAGTTGAATCAATCATGCCTATGTAATTAAAGCTTCCATAAACATTCAAAAGGACAGGATTCTGAGAGCTCCTAGGTTTGTGAACACGTGGCGATGCCGGGACAGTGGTGCTCCTGGAGGCGGCATGGAAGCTCCATGCCCGTCCCCATACCTTGCTCTAATGCATCTCTTCCTTCTGATTGTTCCTGAGTTATATCCTTGTATAATAAACCATTGACCTAGTAAGTAAAATGTTTCTCTGAGTTCTAGGAGCCACTCTAGCAAATTAATTGAACCTTCCTTGGGGACCTTGAACCCTTCATGGGAACCTCTGATTTATAGCTGGTCAGTCAGAAGCACCGGTGAAAAACCTGGACTCGTGACTGGAGTCTGCAGTGGGGACAGGATGACAGTCTTGTAGGCTGAACCCTTAACCTGTGGAATCTGATGCAATCTCTGGATACTCTGCTGGTGTCTGAGAATTGCTTACTGGTGTGGGGGACCCCATACACATTGAAATTGGTCTCAGAAACCTATTTATGAGGTAAGAACATTTTTGCCAAAAGCCCCTTCCCAAATATATTTATATTGGATATAAACAATGTTTTCTTTGCCCTAACAGTCAACATATAAGAATATTAATTGTTGTCACTGTTGGGATTGAAACTTTATCAAGTTAATATTTTATTAATGGCATTTACTTTTATTTTGTATTACATTTTCAGTTAAGGGACTTGACATTCTGTAACATAAATGCACTTTTCACAAGCGATCTTTATATTGCCCTAAGTGTTACTATTTTGTTTTCCCTTTTAATCAGTATGTTACAAATAGGGTAAGTGATGACTTCCATAATAACAAACATATTGAGTTTTGCAAGTTTGCAAACACCCAAAGCTCTAGCGGGTGCACTTTTCCTATTAACATCTCACTTGACACAACCCTTACATAATAAAGACAATTTGCAAATAAAGATACAAATTATAGGCAACACTGGCTACTCTCTTCAGAAGATTATATTGGGTTGGCCAAAAAGTGCCTTCGGTTTTTAA